GAAACTTCAAACGGATCCTTCGTCCAGGTGTGCTGAGACAGGCGCAACACAAATGTTCTAACCTTTTGGATGTAAACGAACTGATCACCAACTTTGGTTTTGTTTCTCCTTCCATGAAAGATCGTGAAAGTATGATCGAGGGCGAACCTTATCAATTTAGTTCCGAATTAAGAAGTAATAGAACAATACGCTTTTATAGGAATCTCGATCTGGAGTCGTGTGTTTGGACTTTTAACAGTTATTATGATTTATCAGAACTCACACAGTATTGTGGTGCTTCGGTGACGTCAGATGGACAATCACGCGATATCGCACAATCCCAGATCACCGTTCGGGTACCTCTATATGTGAGTTATGTGTATCGTGTACCAAGGAGCAGAGGAGACTGGGTCCATTATGACCATGCCATGTATTTGCGCCTGTATCTAACTTACGACACCGCTGTGCTGTTGAATAATGGCATTCAAACTCCTGAGGGGGGCATGTTTAAAGGAGACTTGTGGCCAACAGCTATCTCTGTTCGCGAGGAAGATAAGAAGCTGGTGGTGAATTTCAACACCAGAACAAAGTTTCGAGGAACATACTTGATTAAAAATCCTGGTAAGTTGAATTCAGCTTCTTCATCGATGAAGTGCCTACAAAAAAGTTATCGGCGACAAAAACAACAGACCCGCGCGTTTTGAGCTTAGGCATAAAAGAAATAGGCTTCATACGATGGAGCTTGTACTCTTTGGTTTCTTATCTTCCATCAATAGCAAAAACAATGCATATCGGTGCACATACCCCCCCTAAGAATCTTAAACTAGGTAAGCTGTAGTTCATTTCCCTCCAGGTAGCGTACAACCTACTCTTTAAATAAATTAATAGCCCATCTTTCTTGCAGAAAAAGATCCGTTTAACGCACCCCTTTCATTGCTCATTTACACCAGTCTTATTGAAAATGTTATTTTTTTTCATGATGAAGGTACCCAAGCCATGGCAGCTGTTATGTCACGTGACCGTCCCCACCTGAGTTTCGGTTTGAGCCTGGTATCAAGTGAACAAACGTTCGACTACCCCAAACAGACCTGGCGATTTCAATCCCAGTTTGCCTTACGAGATTACACTGGTGTTTATTTTATCAAGCTGATTCCTTGTACAGTTGATGAGGTGGTTATTTTGGAAATCTTCACGTAGTATTTACTATATGGCACCAAGATAATATCAGCTGTATATTTGCAGTTGATATTCTCTTAATGGCGCATTGTTTTTGGTAAATGAAAGGCACAAAAATAATTGATGTAAATGAGTTCCTGGGTATGTTTTTTTTGTTTCTATGCAGGGAGTGAGTTACTCAGAACCGCCGACCTGCCATCCACGTGATCCGGTGACGTTCACTTTACCAATCAGGTTCCAGCAGGTTCCTGACCCAGTCCCCGGGCAATTTACTTTAAATGCTCAGTTTCTGCTGCTGGCCAATCGGGATCAGTGGTTGGATGGAGACGTTAATGGGATGAAGGATTTAAACGTGGACGCTGCCTTCTCCAGAGGTATCTACCCCTTTAAATTCATATTAGTAAAATTATCCGTCTGCTCTCTGTTTCTCTTTTTCTCTTGTTCATAAGACCTAAAATTTTAAATTCAAAGCCGACCTAGATCAGCGGACTTAAAATCCCTTCGCACATGCGCCACTCTTAGATCTTAATTCTTCATATTGCTGACTTATTAAACTATGTGTCCCTGCGACATGTTGCAAGATACCCGGAGAAGCTTTTTGCAGAGAAGTACTTTGTTCTTTGGTTCTCCACACCCCTTTGAAAAACGTTCATTTTATTCCAAGTATCGTTCCCTCTGGATAACTGCGGTTTGTAAATGGTGATAGGGGCAAGTTTCCTTCTCTCTTTCTTCTGAATGAAATTATATTTGAAACCGAAATTTTATTACTTGTGTGTTTCATTGTTTTGCATAGATACGAAAATCTACGGTCGCATCTCACTACTCGAAGCCAGAGGATTCGGCAAGGGTAGGAAGGGGTATGCTTTAGCGGCAGAGAAGGTGTACCTGTGTACAGGGGTCGGAGAGTTCATTCCTACTTACGACCCACTGAAGAACAAATTTGGATGTATGGCACAGTCATTGTACTTGGAGCATCGGCTAAAAGTTCTGGTAAGTTTTTGATGACTTTTGCACAAGGAACATGAGTAGGCAAAGGCATTGGAAGAAAAAATGCTTCAATTAGTTATGCAAAATAGATCAATATTCCTGTATTGAAATACCTTTTTATTTCACATCAAATCAGGGCATGCTAGTACACAGTTCCTTAAAAAATTGGTTGAAGCTCGAGAGAAACCCACCTCTTCTTCTAAACGTCATTTCCGATTTTCAGCGAAATCATTGCTCCACCACGAGACCTTTTTGAATGGGTTCTTCGGTTTAAAAGTGAATTCTCTTTATCATTCAACAGGACAGAGAAGAACCGGATACAATAGATACTCATCTCTCTAATGTGCCTTTTAAAGCAAAATTTGCTGAACAAGAAGTCCCAGCCGCCAACTTCTCAGAAGACCCTGGATCTGACGGGTTTTTAATGAACAGTGCTCCTTTGTTCGAGGTATGTCGCAGATTAAATTTCGATTTTCCCATAATTGTGGTTGCTTTGTTTTGTACACGGCATGACATTCCAATGCTCAGACCTTACCCTGACTGTCGCGATTTACACCAGCATTTGCACCAGGTTATCTTGCATCAACAGTAACACGTCGATTGTTTTCCCCTCGGCAGGTTCCCAGGAGCCGGAAGTGGTTCATGCATGCTATCTATTCCGTCACATCCGGAGTTAACTCCAGACCTGCTCGATCGATTGGTCGTTCCACCGCTGACAGGAACGAAGTTACTTCCCATATCTTATCAGAGGTAAATAGCCGCTCGTTCAAGCTCTCGCATCGCTTATACCGCCGCGATCTTGGTGATAATCGGCAAATAGGAGATCACGGGCAAGGGGCAAATATCAAGATGATACGGCTTATATCTGAACCAACGGAAACAGAAACAACGCGAAATACGTCATCCGCGGATTCGCCAAAAGAGGTTAAGGAGACAGAGTTAAACAGAGCTCACGATACTAGCCTGGTGAATCCGCTGGTTATTGGCATTGCGGTAGTTTGCCTTTTGCTTTTGGTCGCTTTGGTTGTTGTGGCTGTCTTTTTCAGACGCAAACTGCTGACTCAGCAAACCCAGAATTCTTCAGCAGTTGAGTCAAGATCGGAAGAAGTTACCATCATGCGGAGGAGGGGTGTGGCAGTGTGAAAAGCTGAATTCTTACAAGCCAAGTGCATTTTATCCAGTCATCGTTGTATGTATATAAAACAGCTATTAACGCGCTTCTGAAGCAACCGAATTATTAACCTAAACGCAGTAAAAAGTTCGGCACCTAAATTTACCTCTATACTGTTTTATATTCACATCTTTGAATCAACGACAGATCACGCAAGGAAATCATTTAGTGTCGTAATAATAATATAATAACTTAGCAACAGGTGACGGTGCTTATTTCAAAAAAAATATTTTAACCGACTAACGAAGTCAGAGATCGTGTTCAGAAGACATCTGTTCCTCTGGCCTCTCTCTCTGGGTTTTCGTTGCTCCATCCAAGGGTTAGCGCTTGGTCAACTGTTAAAAATTCGCCTTGATGGTTTATCTGCCTAATATAGGTTCTTAAACAAGTTGGTGAGTGTTTTCTCTATTGCCAAAGCAGCTCATTGGAAAATTTCAGAGTTGTGGCACCACTATGGCAATAAACAATTCGAGAACGAGGTATGAGGCGTTGGAATAAAAGTTGTTAGATATTTATTTTTCTTTTGATACAACTAAATTCCCGTATCACAGTTAATAGTTGAGTCAGAGAAGTGCACAGAAACAAAATGTCATGTCATTCCCGTGCTTTTCTGAAGCATTTTGATCAAAAATTGTAAGATAAAAGATTAACAATTGAGGTACTAATATAAAGCAAGAGTTTTATGATTTTTTTCATTTGTGACCTGCGCATAACTTGAGTATTGTAAACTGCAAGCTAGAGCTAAAAAATATGGGAAAAAATGAACTTTTGCTCTCATTAGCGATGGAGAGGAAAAATAAAGTGGAACATGATAATATAAAGGATAAAAAAATTTGGTGGAAATGTATTCTGGCCACTAAATTAATGTTTGTTTAATATTTATACAGATAGAATTAGCTGTCTTTTCCCCTATATCTTTATGAGAGTTATTTAATTAATCGCTGGATTCTAGGAGAGGATTTTTATCACGAGGCACATTTTTACTTATCATGATATATCTTTCACCGCGGCCTCGTTGTTTACGCCCAGGTCTACGCGGTCATTTTAACAAGGTATGGGGCTGGCTAGGAGCGGAATGAGCTCTTGACTCGTTGATTTCATGTTATGATAGTTTCCAGATGTTACTACAAGTTGTACAAATAAACAAATCTTTCACAGTGTCTCTGTCTTTTAACTGCCTTATCAAAGCCTTGTTAGACTGCTAGCTTTTCTGACGGGTAACCATTTCAAACATAAGGGCTTAAAAAAGCAATAATAAACGCAAAGTTAACTCATGAAAACTAAAGAGTTACAGTCTATTTGAAGTCACAAGACTCTGTCACGATCGTGTTCATATGACTCACGCATTTCCGCAATTCAGTTATACTTTAACTGAACTAAAAGTACATTCAAGCAGAATCATGTAAATCATTATTTAGCTCATTTTTATTATCACGATCCATCGCGTATTAACCTTGTCACCCGTTATGCGCATTTTGTGCTCGTTGCGCAGCGGGGAGTATGAGTAACGCATAAGGATATGGTTACCGGAGTTAAATGACCGTATTTGAATCTTGATGGTCGCGCAGTTCACGTGATACTCAGCAAGGCTATGTGGTGAGCTATTTTTGTAAACTGCTGCACAAAATTGAAGGAATGAAAATAATAAAACAGCAACTAAATACGCAGGTATGAATGATAAAGTGTCTCTGCAAAAGTTTCTCTTTACTTTTGATTTCTTTATTTACAATCAAAATACTCATCTCTCACTCTTTCAATTTATTGATGCTTGAGAAATTAATTAACACTCTGAAAAAAATTATGAATCATAATAAAATTATCTGTTATTTTGTTCAATCTGTTTACACCCATTTCGATTTGCTGATACTGGAGAAGTTCATATACACTGTCAATAATTTAACAACTAGAAAACCAAGAGAAAGAGAGAAGTGTCCTTCACAATGGTGCAATTGAACTTTCAATTGAATTGAACAATGTAAATTTTATGTTAACACAAAAATCCTAACACGACTCTAATTTGGCGACATATGTTCCTCAAGATTTGTTCGTGCAAGTTATGTGTAACCACGTAGGACCGCAACAGTGTTTTGTGTGTATGTTGACAGGGAGGGGGTGGGGTGAATAATTTAGAGAGGGTGATTTTGGATATTTTATCCGTATGTGTTCTCCTTGAAAGAGAGTCTTAAAGGGGTTAACCAAAAATTTAAGCGTTTGTCGTAATAAAAAAGTGAGCCGTAAAATTTTTTCTGGGTACCACAGTGGAAAGATATTAATCCTTGAGATAAATTTGCCAAATTTGAACCTTTAGCCGCAAAAGCCCTCACCCCTTTGAGACCCTCATGAAAGAATGTGGTTTGTTTTCTTTTTTCAAAATGTCACTCATTATTCACTCTTGTTTTCTTAGTATTCACATTTACATCCCATAAATAATTTCCCTACTTTCGGGACAATTCTTTGATTTATCAAAAGAGACAAATATATTAATTTTCTTATCATTGGTAGACGATCTCGTCACCAGAGTATCTTTTCCTCTAACAGGAGAGAAACTCTGAAAAGAAAGTGGATATCTGGGTTGTCAGAAAACGGAAGTGGCCAATTTAAGTTATTCTCGTCTGGCGGTCTCCGAGGATTTTTCCAGAATATGCTTTAAATTTACGCCAGCATAAAGTTTCCGTGGGAGAGCAGGAAATAGAATCCATCTCTTAGAGACAGTCAATAATCCTGAACGCTTGTTCCAAGCCAGCGGATGTATGCAGGTACGTAAGCTGAGTCATACTAAGGACTGAATCATTAAAAATATTCACGGCTATCTTCGCGCTTGTTTTTCCGCTCTTGTCGTCAGTGTTCTTATTAGTTCTCCTTTGTACAAATCCCAACTTTCTAAGCATTGGATCCGGTGTCGAGCATCAGGTACAGTCATATAATCTTCTCGCTAAGGATGAAAGTGTAACAGATCATTATAACTTTACCCCAATAATTTGTGTACTTTTTAAATCATTCATTGTCAGAAAATGATGGACACCATTAACTTTTTCTTGGCAAGAAGAAATGTTCTCATCATACAGTTGCCACACCCTTGAATACAAATATAGAGAATCACATACCAAAGCTTTTAGCTGAACGAGAGTGGTGATGCTGGCGTTCATTAAGAAGAACCTCTTGTTGATCATGATACACTCAGCTCCTTCACTGATCTAAGATGAAGATGATCAAGCCATTTATTAATGTTTCGTTGGTTGGCAACGATAACGGGGGCAGAAAGGACAGAATTTACATTTATAACTTTGCCAAGAATCAGGTTTTGAGGATTTTTTTCCTATGATTTAAGAGCAGTTTGAAACCACTCACCAAGATGAGGCTTTTTGTGGAGGGATCTTGATTTTCTTCAACTGCATCAGTCTATCGAGGAAACGGGAGATAAAAACATAAAATCCACTGTTAATTCTTGACTGGAAAGGATATAAGTCCTCTTGTGTAAGCGAAATAAGTACATGTGCCAAGATTGTTCACAGATATTTGAATGAAATACTTTTGCCTACCTCTGAACTTATCTTGGTGGCAACTTTAGGCATCATGGACTCCAGGCCCTGTTTGAAACACATAACGAGATAATAATCAAATGAATAATAATAGATAATAAAAAAAAGATATAGAAAATGAGATAAGAGGAATTGAAAAGCTCATTCTTTTTTCATCAGCTTAGAATTGAGATATGTAGTTATGTGTCTGCACAGGAACTCAACTTGTTTTACTTTTCCTCTCATTTTCTATATTTAATAACTACTCTTCGGTGTCCAACACTAATCCATAACACAACGTTCTGCCAATTTAATCCCCCGCTACGAGTACAATAGCACTTGATCCAGCCTTTGGTTTCGAGAGCGAACAGCGTAAAAATTATCCACCTTCAACTCCAAGTGGGCTTGTAAGCTTAGTTGGTAGAGCGCTGCACCGGTATCGCAGAGGTCATGGATTCAAATCCCGTACAGGCCTGAATCTTTTTCAGGCCTTATTTTCACTACTGCTTAAGCAGTCTTTACTTTATTCTCAGTCGTAGTAATTCTCTTGACAAGTTTTCAAGCCCACAAATCACTTGCACAATATTTCAAAACATTTTCTATTTATTTCATTCAAATAAAATGCCAAGGTCTGACTGACACACACTCTCTCGATGACTTATTCATAGACAGAAATATTATTCATCATAGTTGTAAGATCTGCGTTCAATGGGGATGAGATTTACTTACAAACATATTCCCTGGTTTTAGAACAGCGATTTGCAGGAGCGCTGTTCTCGTGGGAATGGTAACTGAAACGTCGGACACCTTTTTGGTTATTTTGTCTGGCTTCTTAGGACATGTCATGCCACATGAATCAAAAATCGGGTCCTGCGGTAAACCAAAAGAAGAATGCGCGTAAACACGGATTTGCAAGATAATATCATGAAGCGCTGCGTTTCTTTTAATTTTGCGATTCGATCGTTGCGAGAAACAAAGTCAGACTCAACGAGAAGAAGATCATAAAATATCAGTCTAGCAAAAAAAAAGTAAAAAAATGAAAACTTATTCCAACTGGTAGTAGGGAATCAAAAATGACACTGTATGAGAAACTTTGTAAGAAAGCAGGAGAAGTTTGGTATAACTTTGTTAAGAAGGAGGGTAATTTACCAAAAACATTTACCTTTTCAAGTTGTCTTGAAGTGGGATGCTCACCATCGTTCTTTTCAGCAAACATAATTCCCGAGTCGCCTGTAATTTTTATATTTGGGTTCATAGAACACACTGCAGGAACAATATTACCAACGGGTCAATATAAAATCTTCATCGAGCAACTTGTGGTATGTTCTCTGTCGATATAGAAGGACTTTTGCGCCTTGAAGTGGAAATTACATGCACTTTGATTGGAAGGCAGTAGTCTAACTAACCAACTCCACCCGAAGGGGGCGGGGGTGCCGACCAATGTGGTCAGTAGTTGATAAATATAATTAGAAGGGGAAGGGTTTCAACCGGAGACGAGAGGTCGAAAAAAGGGAAACGTTCCTTTTCTGAAGAAAAGCCTCGTTTTCTTTGCCTCTATTCTAATAACCCTTCATAAAAACATTGTCTCGAACATACCTGAGGTTCTCATCGTTATTTTATCCAATCGCGACTTGTTTTTCTTAGAAAATGTTTCCGTTAGCTGCCGGAAAAGAATGAAACGTAATCAGATACAGGGACTTTCTTTACCCTAATGAAGACATATCAATGAGGAACACATATTGTCTCACCTCTAACAGACTTGTGGGGTTTTTACCAGGAGTTGACCCTAAGGAGAAAAGTTTTATGAGGAGTTATTTTCAAGGAAACTCCGAGAAGGAAATCCAAACATTTCATTTGATAAAGAAGTTGTACACGTGACAAATGAGAGTTCATCTATGGGAAATGGAACTGATTTTGGAACAAAATGCCTTTCTTTGTCCCACAGGACCAAAGGATTTCAGATAGTCCTTTCATTTTGATATTCGATGCAATTTCAGAAGTTTTATTTCTCACGAAACTAAGGAAATACAAAGGCACAATATTATTATCAAAGAGATTCAAATCGATGTAACTTACTTGGAGATTTCCTCGTCACAGTGGTAATGCTGGGAAGCTTTGTTGTCTTGCTCATATCTAACACTTCCTGCTTTCTAACAACCTTACACCTCCCCTGTGAGAAACACGCAACATGTCAAGTGGTTAGAAAGGAACGACTGAACATTATTTGTACGGGGAGGGGGGGGAAGGGGGGGTGGAAGGGGGAATGAGAGACGGCCTAGGGAAGAGGGAAATAGTAAAAATTGGGTCGGTGGTCGGGAGAGATTAGGATATGGGAAAGGATGGAGAGAAGAGAGAGAGATGGCTGTAATATCTTTGAAGGGAATAAAAGAAGAAAAAAAAAACTCTATTCCGTTTGAGCTCTTTACCTTTCACAGGGAAAGAAAGTCTTAATGTTGGTGTAAGCCCCAGAAGCAAGGCAACAAACTTGGTGCGAGCAGATTGAGATATCTGATTTACTTTAATCATAAGAATGATAACTGTTCTTACTGATTTCACGATGTAGAAGAATGGTGTATCACTACTGTCTTTAACAATCACTGCTTCTTTACTAAAGGAAACAAGTCAAATTTACAGGTAAGTAGCTAGAAAAATAAGTAATTCACGAAGATTTAATTATTTATTCAATGTATTCAGCTGTTCATATGAAAGAATGATCAACAGCTGAGGAAAATTTAGATTTTAGTCATCATCACTACGTGTCGTAAAAACGAATGCAACGAATACATACGCAAAGTATTTGGTCATAATGGCGTCTTTGTCGTCTAGAAACTTTTCCAGCGGAAAGTTTCGAAAGAGTTCGATTGACCTTAATTGGAAGAAAAACAGAAATAAATTGCCTATAAATGGCTTAATTCTTGTTTCCTTAACAGTTTGCTATGTAAAAAAAGGCGTATTTTCTTCGCTTTCTTGAACGCGATTAAGGTCAAAACGTCGTCGAGTCTGCGTCCGACAGTTTAATAGAATTGCATAATTGCACTTTCTCTAATGTTATTACTGAATTGACACTTCTTCAAAGACACAAGATCAGAGAGAAGATGATATTCAGTGAGTTACACCGGCATACTCGGAGAAAAAGAACTCTGAGTGGTCCCACTAGATAGGGATCGAACCAACGACCTTCCGATTAGTGCTTTGAATACTCTACCACTGAGCTCTAGGGGGACTCGTGGCAGGCTCGGCTTTTGCACCTGGTCCATTTACTGCTTTTTCTGGTGGAACAGATTTTGATGAATGCAGTGAATTGCCTCGGAACCTTACTATATAAGGAAAAAGTTTCCGGCTTTCACTAATCGTTAATAAACAAGGATAAATGCTTGGCAAATTCATAAGCTCTTTCAGTTTTCGCCTAGGTACTTCGTTAAAATCATGATTTCAGAGCTAAAGTTTCCATGTGCTTTTAAAAGAGTTTCACTCGCGGGTGTGATATTTAGAAACTTAACAATTCATAATCGATTGAAGGAACTCATGATTTTAGAAATGAAATATTCTTCCGCAAAGTCCAACAACTCTGAGATTAATTATGCAAAATGCGTTGTTCGTTTTATTCAAAGTTTGCCTTTTACCTGAATATTTGTCACAGTTTTAGAGCGTGCGTGATCACTTATTGTTTCAAAATGTGCGTTCAAATTTATTGGGATGACTGACTTTTGGCAAGTTCCTCGTAAGTCAACATTACCTCAATGTTTCAATCGGCAGTCCGCTGTCCGGGCTTGTATTCATCAGTTCCATGAAATCCTGCAACAATATTTCAATTATAACTCTCGCCACAAACGACACTTTTTTTTATCAACAGCCCGCCAGTAAAGACGCTGAGAACAGTTTTGTTTACCAAGCGGAGAGTCTCACTGATATTGTCATTCACTGATATTCGTTGTCCTCGTAGTTATGGAGTCCTGCGCTCAAACATTATTATAATGAATGATTCGCTCAAAGCCTAATCAAGTGTTTGTTGTTCGAATGACTAATTACCCGTAACGTTTACACATGAATAAACAAGCCCATTATAGCTGTAATCAAGGAAGGAAACGCGGAAAAACTCACAGTCCTGTCTTTTGCGTTTCCATACCCAAATAAATTATTACGAAATTCTTTTACTTCAAAACGTGACCTCTGAGTGAAAAGCAACGGAAGAGGTGTATAATTAAAAACTTATCAACTATTATTCCTTTCCCAAAACAAAAGCCCCAATAATCCTCTTGTTTCTCGTTTGTTATCACAGATTCATTTTCTCCACTGAAAAGAGCTGTCACTTTGTTATCCTTTTATGACTAAGACTGTTTATTTCATTTACCCGTCGGCAGAATTTTCACAAAGGAAGCGAAGGGATTTTTGTGATTTGCGAAATAGAATCAAATAAAGGACTTTAAAGCAGTAAAACCACTTTGTATTGTGTACGTGCGTTATAACATGGGCTTCTGTTTGTTGAGCCAAGTTCAAGCTCGTCGAAACAAAGTACCTTTTTCCCTTAATCATTTTAGTCCATCATGCCATTCTTTTCGAGTTCAACAGTAATAAAAATGTGTCTCTCTGATTTGAAAATAATTAAGCTTACGTTTTGGTACCTTACCTCTTTGTCTAACACGAGAACTTCAACAGGTCCTTTGCATATCAGAGAATGTTCTCTTTCTGTACCGTTCATCAGTTCCACAGGCTTAGAGAAAGACGGAAAATTAACATACTAGTTCAGACATTTAATTTCCTTCCGCTGCAGTAATTCTGAGCAATTTCAAACGTTGCAAAGTCGGGCTTTCGGCGTTTTTTTTAAATCTTTTTTTACATGATCCTAATTAGTTTTAAGCTGCCTCAAATATTTTGGCCAGAAACAACAACAACAACAACAACAAAAAACATGAACACAAAAGGGTCGAGAATTATATAGGATATAGAATACTTGCGTTTTCTCATTCTATTCTTCCAAGAACTGAAAGCTCCATTCCAGACCCTCAGTTTGCGAGGACGAGCAAAAACAGAGCGAGCGATTAAAAAAAAACATGGATAGCCCCGCCTATTTTCGCTCGTCTCAACTGAGCGCGAGGCTGGCCCACGCTGTTAATAAAATTGTCAGTATGTATACCTACCTACGTATATGGTCTATAACAGTTTTGACAAACTTACATCGGTTGTATTTCCTTGCATCAGCTCCCCGAAAGACATCTTTGTAACACCAGCAGCCAGATCATAGACACAAACTTTACTAACTAGATAATGAAAAAAATGATATTTAAGAGTTACCAACATAGAGTTCAATGATGTTGAGATCAGTTGAGATGAGACGAGCAACCACGATGAACTGAAGGGAGTATTACAAAGAGCCGATGAGACCTCAAAGCCAAAACAAGCAAGTTGCCCAAAGCGCAAGAACGTGAGCTATCAAGGCATGATGGGTACCGGTGAATGTGTCTAATAAAACATTTGCTTAGAGCGGTTATCAAGTGTACGTGGAGGGAAATGCGGATCGTGGTGATTTTGCTTCACTATGGTCAGTGCTTGGTCTGAAGATCTCGTGCTATTACATTGTTGATAGTTAGTGACGGACTTTACATATGAATGCAGATTTCAAATCGAACAGAATCGATATAGAAAGTCTTCTCTGAGAGAAACAGCCCATACCTCTCCCTGAGAGGACGTAATAAAATCTCTCCGGTATTCTCCCCTGACAGGCAAGTACTCGACCATTGTCGTATCTGAAATGACGATGGAAAGAAAATAAAAAGAAAGAAGGAAGTGGCATTAGATCACAATGCAGCTAAAAATTATTGTAGCGTTCAGAACAACTACTGGAATTGCAAAGGCAATACCTCTGGTTCCAAAATATTGGACGATTTCCAGGATAGTTGAGTGAAAGATAAATTGAGAATCACTGGGGAAACGTTTCCAGAAAATATTAGCCGAACAGGTAAACCTCGTGTTTTTGTATTATTGTTTTTTATGAATCGAACTCCCATTGCAAGATCAAAACATTTTTGATAGTTTCTTGCAAAAGTTGAACTAGGGGAAAGCTAAACGAATGAGAAAAAAAAAAAGAAGATCGAAATACATTTCCTTCCAATAACTAATTCCTGTGTGGAGATGCAGTCAGGTTCTACGAATAGCATGACCGTTGGTTTCCTCCTAGAAAACTCACCGTTCATATCCAACGAGGCGGGACAGATCACTTTCTCTCTCCAGTGGAAATATCATGAACGCACGCGTACTCCGACAAAGTCTCTGGATCTAAAGAGGAGATGAGGTATTACAAGTTGAGAAGAAGACAGTTTTTAATTAAAATTAATAAAAATTAACCTGATATCAGGTCACAGACAAACCTACAAGTCGTCAAGTACCTTCTTAAGCCCTTCATTTGTTCGCACTCGAGGTATGGATGTTAAAATCTGACGGAGTTCATCGGAGATCTAAGAAATATGAAAGTGGCAGTTAAAAATTACCGTAAATCTCAGCTCAGGGGAGATCCCCCGCAAGAAAAATGGTAGCATTTGGTTGTTATCAAGGCAGACGTTTATTTTATGAACATTTGTCTCGTGAGGGCGCGAGAACTTGGCGAAAAAAATTAAAGGGCCTTGGTGCAACGAACAAATTACCAAAAAGCGATGCTTTATGGCTCATTGTTTAGCCATCTTAATCTCCCATTTGTCCCGTAAAGTTTAGCGCAGCGGTCAAATGTTGTGTGTCAATTTCCTACGGAAAATCTCGAAGGAAAATAGAAATACAAAATGCCGTCAGGCAAAATACGCGAGGAAAAATTTGTAGGGAAAAGGAAAACTCCGCATAACGTTTCAGACACAAAGCTCATCTTTTTGATTCGCCATTTTGTTTTGCGTTTCATCAAAAAATCTAGATGGTTTTAAAACACCGTGACTTACCGGCTGGTGCGGTTTATAGACCTTGTGCGACAATTTGATTCTGACAGCCCGAAAGCACGCCATCTTGCGTGCTATTACAACGTGCGCACATGCGCAAATGTTTAATCGCTCTTTTGAAACTGATGTCTCGATGTGCGGCGATTGTTACATGTGTTGTTATTTCAGTGTCGTCATTGAATACGTACCTTACTTTTCCCTTTGAATGCTCTTGTATCAAAACCAATTCCAGAGTTTTTCTGACTTCCTTTTCTTGTTCCTGAGTCAGCTGAATCTTGTCTACTTTTGGTACTTCCATCTGGTTTCTTGTATCTTTACATAAACAAGAGAAGAGTCTTTTTTTACTGTACCAGATTCAAACGAAAATTATATTCATTGGTTTCAAAACGTCAGATCTTTAAAATCTTAATTCCATTATGAAGATTTTTGAGACTTCTGCTTCGCTTCCTTGGCTTATCTTCTCAGATCAAAGTTAGAGGCTGAAATGAAACCGAATGTCTCACTTTTACACAATAGGACTTAGGCTTAATTGTTTTTGAAGAATAATATCCACTCACACTGGTGTATAATAGTTATCTCTGAAGGAAATCAAAATTGACAGTTTCAAGTCTCACTAAGCTGTTTTGTTCTCTCCCATCACAACTGTACTGAATGCGGTATAACTTTCTTAATTCACAAGCTCGTTCATAAAACCTCGATCATTTTGGTGCGAAATCTATTTAACAATGAAAATCAATTTTCAACTTAACTATAGCGAAATGAAAATGTTTACTTTTTGCCAGTTAAGGAAAAGGTGTAAATGGCATAGAACGAATCAGTATTTATTTTCTCTCGATATTTGATTTACACAAATCTGAAAGGTCACTTCTATTGCACTTGTGCAGCGCATAAAAGATATTGGCATTGAAAACAATCAGTTATTATCAATATCCCCGAAAAATGCGAAATAAAACAACAAACTTAGGGGTGAATCCAGAATTTACCGGAACTAACTGCTAGATATTACAATAACGTCTTTACAAAAAAAATATAGATGAACATATTAAATGATTTCGTTTAGTAGGATTTCTAGTCAATCAATGACTCTAACAGAAATTATTTTACCTTCTCCATCTCATGCAAGACGAAACTAAAACATGAACCACCCGTGCTGCCCAGATGAATTTCTCCAGTGGCTACGAAACAAGAGAGAAAAAAGACCTATCAGTTGTAGGATTTGAAAATAGATTTCTCTGGGACGGTTGTTATCGGCGAAAGTTTCATAAAAACTTCCTGTTTCGTTTACAAAAAATTCTCTCCGATGAGCAACAGCAGACATTGTTATAGAGGTAATTGAGTTAAAACTGTCTTACCGTTTTCGTCATGTTAGAAGACGCTTCGGGACGAAAACATGTTCAGAAACAAGTTTTCTCAAAAAAACCTTTGCATTGACCTACTAAACTGAGCTGAGTGTCGGTAAATATTCTGACCTAGGAACATTTATCGAAGAATATTTGCGCAGGTGAATATGCTTTGTGCCAATTTCGTGTCGGTTTGTTTTGCTTCACGGAAACTGTGATTTTAATTATGCAAACTGTTCAATCGCTGTTTTAAATACGGCAAATTAACACGACTTAGGTGGTCTTTCAACTTATCCGCAAGTATTAACAAACATTGTAAAACGCCCACACGGCTAATCTCTGTTGTAAACCGCAACAGCAGATGATCACGAAGCCTTATTTAACAATAAGTCATTTACGGTCTGTTTTCCACCCGTTGACTTAATTGTCCTGTTTGACGAAGGAGCTATTTAAGAATACGATTTGTTTCAAGAATGTAAATCACGTTAACGGTGTATTCCATCAGAAACCGCAGAGAAGTATGCATTTAAACAAAACCACTAATCATCAGTTTTCTACTTCATTTTATAAAAATAGAAAATCTGGCAAACTTACCGTAAGATGTGATTGACTTTTCTCCTAAAAATTCACAGAATTGCCATTAGACTTTTTTGATTTTATCTTAAAAAATGACTTTTACATTATTAATTGTTTTTCGAGGCTCAATTCGGCTAGGTTAAAGGAGGTGTCTAGCCGAATATCATTATGTTTCATTAAAACTGCCTGCCTCTCCTACCTAAAACGCACATACTCTCACCGAGTAGGGAACAAAGATGGTGTTCCTTGAATTTAGGTGCCCTCCCCCCCGCCCCACCCTTGAAAGAGAGGCGCACCCATGCATATCAGGGACACTACAATAGCATCTATAAGCGACCATAAATTTCTATACAGCAGGCACATAGGAAATAATTTTTAAGTAAGGGGGGCCAGTGTCAGCAGTGATTGGACGAGTATTATAGTGGGCCAAAGGAGGATCTCTAAAACACATTCTGACGCTATTTGGTTCATTTTAGAACACTTTTTAGAGGAGTGGTTTTTGATACTTTCAAGCAATCGTAAGGGCAGGCAGTTGTTGCTCTGTCTTGTAGATTTGCATCGTCGTATAAATTACTCGCATGAGTTTCTCTCAGTTGACAAAGTTACAACGAATTTTTAATCTTTGTGATCTTTTCTTTTGCCTCCCTTTCATTCACTCCGCCATAAAAATAACAAGTGCGATGACTGATCAAAGTTTTTGCTGCATGATAAGATGCAGAACTCTCAACTCGGCGCGTTTGGCTAGTACATCCCGGTTAATGAAGTTGTAAATTTTAAGTCAGTAAGTTAATTCGGTGAAGAATTTAGCTAGTACTGACCTGAATGGTGTCGAGCCGTTGGTGAGTTTTCTTTATAAGAGCCGTAACTAACAGAGGAGCTTCCAAAGCACTTTGACTGTCACGGCGAAATCTTTGAACTTCCATGACTCTTTTATGTATTTCAATTGCAGTCCTTTGTGCTTCGTGACTTGGTTGAATTGTACCAAGTTTACCTTTACCGCGATCTTTTCTCACCAGAAACGGCTTCGGTAGATGAGGAATGAACTGCTCGTCACTCTCAAAGTTAATGTTGATGTTAATGACCGATTTTTCGTAAGCCATTTTGAAGATCAAACTGTTTTCCTATGGAGAAAATTAAGGGAAGGCTATTTAGTACTGTACAAAATCGAAATGAGGCCCTTATGAAGGGTTTCACGGGGAAGGAATTCTTTGGACAGGAGATTTAAGCTCTTAAGTCTTCACTCGACTCGTAGATATATCAAACAAGTTTTTCTTATGTACATACTAGCATCAAACTTCAAAGTTTACAAAGCAAAGTGTTACCTAAAGTTCAGTTAGTTTGAATGTTATTTACCCACAAAGTCATGAAATCAGCCGGGTACATTGAAATGGAATGCATGTTTACACGAGTCATTCAGCTTACCTTCAAGCGTTGCAAATCGTTGTGGTTTCGATCGAAGTTTTTGATTCGATTTCACAGCAGTTACCAACCATAAAATCCAAATTAATGATGTGCCTTTCCTTTACACTCGTCAAAGTTCTCATCTTGTTTGCAATTTTTCCTGAATTCACCATTCAATTGCTCATAGCAACGCAAACGAAATGATACACTATGAACATAAAGGAATCCGCGATTTGGTAACGAAATCACGTTTGAACCTCAATGGATGATTGAGTAGCTTTGTCAGTGAGGTCAAGGGCTAACTCGCAAGCGAATAAGCACTGTCTGTTTACTGTTGACTTTAGTTTTCATTACCGTAATTATCTCGAAGCCACTTCGTGGTGCGTGAACACAAAGGATAGCTTGGCGAATGAACTGTGTGGAAACAATACTACCGTCTGCGTACCGAATCTCAGGGGAAACGTCTTCTTTACCGATCAAACAAAGAAACTATGATTTTTTTTAAAGTATTCCCTTTGTTTTCACGATGTTGGTGGGTAACTGAGAAAAACATGTCAAGAATGCCGAGAGAACCTTCTGTGACATAAGCCAATTAAAATACGATTTATGTTAAATTTGAAATTTAAAGTAGTTTAGACAACTAGGAATGTTTCCCAAAATACCAGTGATTCGTCATGAAATGTATGAACCACATTGAAAATGGGTCATGAAGTGAGTAAGTGTGCTTGTTTTGCTCGTTTTCTTTCGTCAATATGTTGACCAACACGTTCTGATAATGATTTGTTTATTTTCTCGTTTAATGCGCGTTCGCGCGTGACTTTTAGAGTACGATTTGTACGTCACACGAAGTGTAGTTTGAGACACGCACCTAAGTCGACTTCTACACATTGCGTGGAAATGCAGAAAATCTCAGAAGTCTTTTTTAATTTAATTTTATTTGTATTACATCTTTCCCTTGTTATTCAGTTTTGCTTGGCGAGCGGACGAGATCTGAAGTCCTTCGTTTGCATACATGACCGAATTAAATAAAAATTGCTCAAAACAAAAGAGGAATTGATAATGAACTTGCTTAGTTATTTAATTTCCTCCGTTCTTTTGTTTTGCAAACTATTACCAAAATAGACGCACTGCGGTTTATGAACACTAAGGTAGCTGAAGAAAGAAAAAGTCGCCCTCCAGGCCATTTCGTGAGGCTGAGCTTATCAAATAACCTGTGTTGCTTTGCTCAGCTTTCACTTCAGTCAAATTCTTTCCAACACTGAACGGATTATGCCGTTCTATCTGGGGTAAAAAGTAGACCAGATGTTTGATTTTTCTCAACTCTTTCACTGATGAAGAAAGGAGCAAAAGATTCATCTTACATGAAGACTTAAAGGTTCTCGCGTATAAGTAAACAGACCCAGGGACATTAAGGCTGAGCTATGTATGATACAGTAGGAGGTCTGAACTGTCCCAAGGCTGAGTCTATTACCTAGAAATCTTCTCTGTTCCCGTCCACTTTGGGTTTTAAACCTCTCTATGTCTATTTCAAATGTTTCACTTCGATATTGGCAAAAATTTCTGTTATCGAATTACTAGCTGAGTATCCAGGGTCTTCGTAGCCTTTCCCTTTAGCGACTTACCCTGGTAGTTTGTTCCCTCTTTTCAGCGGTATGTATATTTAATATAATGCATATACGACCCTTTCTCAAAATCTTTGCCAGTCGTCGGGAAGTAATTTTTTATCAGTGATTAAAAGTAAATTGGCGAGAGAGCACCGAGGCCTTTTAATGAAGTCACGCGAAGGATTTCAGCCAGATACATCACCAACTCATTAACGTTGCTCGAACAAACAAGCAGCGCCCCTCCAGATCCGTAAGGATGGCTGTCAGCAAATAGGAGGGGACCGTCTTTGAAGAAGAGAAAGACCCCAGATCTGGAATCTTTGATAAAGATTACAGCTGATTTTTCGTTAAATTTCCGCAGTCTTTCAAGCTGATACGAAACCGTTGCTGTCTCCGTTTCCGAAACAAAACTGACGGGAAGAGAGAAGCCGAGGTTTTTTATTTGAAGCATGTCCCCAAATTCTTCGACTACATCCTCCACCGACAAATAAATAGCGCCTTGTTTCTTCAAGTTAATAACCATATCGTAAAGTCTATTGCCCTCAGCGATGCAACTGCTGTATAAGTTTATCCAACTTTCGTCAAGGAGGTCTGTTTCTGGGAGATCAAGATTACCACAGCAAAACGCCTTCGCTATCAACACAGCAATCACAGTACAAGCATTACTACCATTTCTACCGCCGTAATAGGACTGACATATTTCTCGCGGAAAGTGGTAGAAGAATACTGAAGTGTCTCGAACTCTTTCGCACCTCACAAGCAAGTTAGTACCCTGTTTTTGTGAAGGATAGTCCTGTTCTGACTTTCCAACTCTTAAAATTTCACCTGAACTTGCCAAAGCCCCATTTCGAATACTTTCAACGTAGTTTTTGCGGTTTGCATGAGGAGAAAATGTATTTTTACTCTCTACCTCACAACCGGCTTTTGGTTCTAATGGTAAATATATTGAACCCCCCGATAAAACTTGCGACTGAATGTGCGGGTCAAGTGTCAATATAGCATAGATAATGAAAGAAATGTACAATAACAGAGGCATACAGCTTGTCGTTATGGTAACTATTTGAGCTGGTTTCCAGTCCGCCTGTAGTCCAACGAGCGAAGATTTATCATTCTGAGAAAAGCGGTTTATGATTGGTCCGTACCAGTTTGTTAGAGTTGCCAGCGTGTACATGGATCCTGTGGACATAAGAAAATGAAAAGCTGAATAACTGTAAGACAGGTTCTCCTCGTCTGTTTTTGTATCTTTCAGAAGTCCAAGCGTGAAAGAGTCTCTACTGCTGCGTAAACATTCGTAGACTATTGCTGTGTGCATCAGAGACAAAGCTATAATACTTTTCAAATGTACTCTAGTGGAAATTTTTTGCCTTGAGAGAAAGGTTCCTTCAAGATTGCATCCGCGACCTCCCTGTATAGTAAGTGCTAAAACCATGACAAAGACTGAGTGAAATATCACTACTGCGCATGGCAGGATGACAGCTTCTGTTTGAATGTTAGTTCTTATTCGAGGATGCCATGTGATGCCAAAGGATATGAAACTTGCTCCAAGGATTAGCACTATGAAGATATCATTCCATATACAATTTTGGGTTGATGCTACAACAAGGATGTACGCAACAGTACCAAGGCTGACGGCTAATAACAAGTAGGAATTACAAATCAACAGTACGAGCATAACTTTAAAAGATGTTTTGCGTTTGGATCCCTTTTCTTGCTGTTCTGTGACCCAAGCACCCAAGGCCTCTGCAAGGTCTACCAACAGAAAAAACTGAAACATGATGAATAGGCTGCTACCAATTAGCACGACATACGAAAAGTAAACGATAAAGTAACTGTGTTGAGGTATATAGAGAGCTCCTATGCTAATAGCAGCGAGAGAAAGAAGCTTGAAAACCCAGCACTCATTATGCAGATGTTCACGAATAGCAGGGAAGTTTGGTAGAAGAATGAAGGCAAGAATGAAATGATACACTGTAATAACCAGAAACAGTCGATAAAAAATCTCGTAGGTTAACACTTCCCGACAAGTTTTTTCATCCATGATCCTCTGGCATGTAAACAGGCTCTTTACCATTGTCGTTTCCAAAAACTTCTCGTTGATGCCCGGTGCTGAAACGATGAATGTTGCTAAAGTCCACAGACACAAACCACATTCGTAAACAAGATGAATTTTATCCAGCATTCCTTTAGAACCGTTCGTAAACACTCAATTTTTCGAAGAAAAAAAATTGGTGGGACATTGTTCTGAGTTGATAGTCTGTCAACTTGATTCACTGATCTCACTTAGTTATTATGTCGTAACCTTCCGCGAAGGCTCTGCGAGCAGTAATGAAGATTTCGCTTTCTGCCATTTTATAGCATAAATAAACAGACAAAAATTTGGCGCAAAAACCTGAGCGCATTGAAGTGGGAAGTGTACCTGCTGTTCATTGCATTGTTTGGCAATTGTTTGCGGGAGAAACCGATATGTTACAGTTATTTTTGAAACAATGTTTGACAAGTTTTCTAACACCTTGCTATCTCCTCTCAAAAGAAGAAATAAAAAGGCGACATGTTTCAAAATAAAACTACAAGAGTATCTCTGTTCCATGCAAGTTGGTTGTAAAAAGAAAAAAATATTTTGTGATAACTTGTCACTAAAAGATTTTTCATCGTTAACCAGCTCTTTAAGTGTGGAATTATTATCAGCAGGTGGTTCTCAGTGGATCGTACACCTTTCTGTGGCAGCCGACTAAATGAGCAAGCTTTCACGATGTGCCTACCACGCTTGAATACGCGTATAGTTCCAAGTTTGGGGTTAAAGTACATGACTATGATTTTACATCGGTAAAATGTGTCAAAGATTACAATACCCACAAAATTACTTAGGAGTGCAGAAATGGAGGGGGGGGGGGGGGGGAAGGGGAGGCTCTATCAGTGAGTTAGCACTGCAGCTCAGTGTCAGAGCAGTGTTACAGGTTTGAGTCTGAAGTTTTTTCCCTCGTGTGGAAAAGCATTTTTCACACCAGATCCCAACTGTGGCTGACTCTTGAAAGTATGAACATTTGAAATTTAAGTACGTGACAAGGTAATTTCTTAATAAGTCTGTTACTCCAAAAAAATTTCTACCTTACAACCCTGGGGAGAATCAACACCCAAAATTGACTTCACTTAATAATTGCAATTAACAATAGGTGCCCTTTAGGTTTTGATATATTTTTAAGCACAAATTGAATTCATCAGGCAAGATCAGCTATGCAAAGCTATTGCTTAGTTTCCTACACTACAGCTAAAACTATCACTACTCAAAAGCTACATGCGTGCAAAGCGAGAGTGGTAGTATTTCTTTCCTTTGGAAGCTGCTGTAGAAGTGCGCGTTAGGAACTATGTACAGTGTTCTTATCCGTGAAGACTAGAATGTCTATTCATTTGCAGACGTCATAGCAAAGGCAGTACATTCTCCTCAGTTATTTTAAGACCCTGAGTGTTGGTCAGGTCAAGGGCTTGAACCCACGACGTCCCCCTTTTCAGCTCTTAGTTTATCAATTCAAAGTAAAACTGGCCTATCGGTATTTACAAACCAGACTAACACATACAACTGAAAGTTGAAATGAAATTGTAAAAATTAATTCTACCCTGACGATCACACCACACAATCGGGAAAATAAATTGTACATCTGGCCTTGTTTATCAGCATTTTGAAGTTGAACTACGCACGAACTTTCAGTGGTTCTTAACTTTGACCTACTGGAGGACAGACCCATGGATGACGTCACCATAGATACAATTTGCTTTTTTGTGATATAAAACAAATAGATTCCATGTTTCCGTTGGCACAGTACAGTACAGA